CTGATTCCGCACCAGAGGAATACAAGAAACTTGCCGAGCGGTGTTGTGATGCTGATCCTGATAAGCGTCCACATGCATTTACACTTTATAAGGATATTCGCGAGCTTATTAAAAAGGTGGATAAGGGTGGTTCCGATGACTACGCATGGAATGCCGTTTATCATAATGATGTAAAACCATTATCGCGTCTCGAGAAGGAGAATAAATATTCTCGTAAGCTCTTACCTACTGGAGATCTGCCTAAACCGAGGAACAGTTACGATTCAGTTGCAGGTATGAAGACAACAATTGGTTTTACACGCGTTAATATTAATAAAGTCAATTTGCAATATTAACCTCGTTCATTGTCTTATATTTAGTGACTCAAAATTTTTGAATAAAACGAGTTTTATGGCATGGGTTTACCTGCTTCCAATTAAATAAATTGGTCACGATGTGGTCGATCGATACACAAACTAGAAGTTTACTTATTGGCGGGGTAAGATCACTTGAGCGTAAATTTTACAGAGTTTGTTCTATTCGTTTAGTCATAAATGTGATATATTAATTATACTTCTCAAGAGGAAAAGGATTATGTAAGCGAGCGAACTTTTAGCATGGTTAATTTATGTTTTTATGGACAGTTTAGGCAAATATTGAGTCTTTTGAATGATAGACTTGTAAAGTTTGTGTTAATTGGCAGAGGTCACACCAGTTGAAGCTAACAATAAATATATAATTATTCCCAGCGCTAGTTGTGAAAATTGCACGTATATTCGTTTTTCTAGAAGTATTAGTATTGGTGAAGTAAGTTTTTGGATTATCCAATTGCTTTCGAAGATTATTAACAACACGGTCAAATGAACTTCTTCGATTTGGTGTTCAATCCTATGCTCTAAATGAGTCAAAGATCAAATTTCGCGATTTATTTATTTATCACCTTTGATCGCTAACGAACCCGTTTATTCTGTATCCAGTACTTCCACCGTTGATAGATTATTAACAGACTCATTCTTGTGCATCTTTTGATACCCAAACTTTCTGTTTGAACTCTTGAGGATAATTTGAAGAACCTAGTGAACTGACGATGGAAACGACTTGTATTTATACATAATATACTATTCTTCCACTATAACAATATGTAACTAATTCAAGTTTATTCATAAAAAAAAAAGCAGAATTCGTTATTTTAGATAATTTACTGTCTTCTCAACAACTTTGATGCCCTGATCGGATTTGGAAATCGTGTCAAGCAGAGGCATCAGTTTTCAAGAACTTTCCTTGCGAGAAGTGTGATGAATTGACACTGGGTCAATGCTAAATAAACTGGACAATGAGTTTCAAGAAGGAGAAGAAGAAGAATGAATGAATAAAGAATCATGAGATAAAAGTATATCTTACCTGACACCAATATCAGATATTTGTTTTTTATTGATACCTTTATCACAATTTCACCATTGTCTGTGAATTTGATCCTGATAAATTTAATAATCGTTAGAAATCTGAGACGGCAGTATCAAGCGTTTCTTGTATTCCAAAACCAGAACGAAGTTTGTTGCTGGTTGCGAATAGATGCTGTTGTTCGGCGATCAGACGTGAGAAAGTTTGAGATTCACGTGAATGCGAGCCATAAGTTCACGAGCATTGAAGGGCTTAACGATATAATCGTCTGCATCTTTTCCAATCCTACAAATACAGATAATTGAGAAACATATTTAACGAGAGAACATTGACATACGAGACGTTACCTTCGATACTGGCTTCTCCTGTTCGAGCCGATAATAAGATCACAGGAATCGTCTGTGTGCTACGTAGTGCTTTAAGCAATTCGAAGCCATCCACGTTAGGCATCATAACGTCTATTTGAATAACGAAAGGGTTCTCACTATAATATTCCGTAATTCATTCAGTTATTTACCGAAAGTAAATTAACTGGAATCTCACCACTCAGAATTAGGTCAGGCAACCGTTGTGAGCTCTTTACGATTTTAAGAGCATCACAACCATCAGCAACGGAAATGCAATCAAACTGCTTCTTGATCAAATTGCTCAAATAGTTTCTAATAAGATATTATTAAAAATAGTTTACAACATGAGTTACATAAAATGACGTAAAATTAATATGCACCCGACATACCTCATGTCTGCATTATCATCGACGACTAGAATATATTTTCTTGTACTCTCAAATTCGATATAACTAGGCTCCATGACCACCCGTCTGATAGTGGTGAAGATGTAGAAAATGGACTGTCACTATCGGTGCGTGTCGAGCTATGTTGATTACTTTCATTGGGCTTTTGGTTAGACTCCTCCACCTTCTATACTTTCTGCATAGGCAATACAAGCTTGTACCCGAATGAATTTGGTTTTCGTATTCTGCATCAAATTGAGAAATATTTCTTTTGCTTCCAAAGTAAACTTGTTGCTGAGGAAGATGGTAGGAATCCAAATGCGAAAAGTAGTGCCGACATTCACTTGGGATGTGACGTGGATTTCACCATCATGTCGCGTGACGAGTTCCTTAACGAGAGCAAGACCAATCCCAGTACCTTCGCGCCTGTGTGATAGTTGCGACTCGACGCGGTAAAAGCGTTGGAAGATATTTGAAAGATGTTCTTCTGGTATGCCAACACCTAAAAATGGCCGACCGGTCATACGTATATTAGCGCGGTTACATCTTGATATGATGATATAATAATACTTGACATTACAAACAAGCGAACAGTTACTCCACCAGCCCATGTGTGTTTAAACGTGTTCGAACCTAAAAAACGACAAGTTGATTAGAAAATAACATAAAACGCATTATATTAGTGTTAGTTGACTTGTATCGCTTACTATTTTCTGATCCATTTGGCGGACAAGTTCTTCATCGTTAGGGACATCAAACTTAAAGTATAAACTAAGCGCTTTCGCCATACTTTCGAAACTGGCTGCCAATTCGATTGTTAACTTTGCAATGTTCGATTCGCAAAACCATGCGTGAAGTCGGCTTGCCTCTATGTGGGCGAACTGATTTAC